CCCCAAAACCCCAAAACCCCGTATTGTTTAAATGATATAAAAATTAGGTAAAAAATTAATGATTTAAACAAAAATTTATAATTGCAGACTTAGTATTAAATAGAATCTTTATTATTTTTTGTTTGATTTATTGATTGATCAAATATGAGGCTTCTTAAGAAACTGATCGTGCTAATGTGTGTTTTAATCATCTTACTAGATCCCTATTTATGTATTCCCTTCATTTTTTAAATTATACTTCAAAGGCGATACTAAAGTGTTCTACAATAAAAATAGTCGATTTCTAACCTAGATACCAGGATTTCCTCTTGACCTAGTGAGCAACGAGAATGATAAGTATGAGTTTACGCTTAATATCTGGATTAAACCAAAGATATTTGATACTTACATTAAATCCTTTGTGACTTGGGGATAGTATATCACAATTTCAAGTAAAAACCTACTCCTAAGTTTCTAATCACTACTCGGGTAAATATTATTATTGCATTTCATAATGTTTAGATTTACTCCTGTCCCGAATGTAAACTAAAGATTGACATTCAACTAATGGCAAAGAGTATGTGTCGTCAAACTTTAAGACAGTGTTTTAATGTATACATTCGATTAATCTGATAGGAATATTATAGGTATTTGAATAATAAAGTGATTTATGCCAAGACTCCAGTTAATTGGACTATCAATTTTAATAGGTATATATGTCTGCTGATAAACATTAGATATTCATAATACTAATAGGTAAATGGCTCCAGAGAGCTACAGTATTGGCTCGACTAAAGTCACTAACTTCATGTTAAGAGACTTTGTATTTTACAATTGAGCTTTAACATCAGATGAGGTATTTGCTATTGCATATTAGTAAGCATAGTTGATTTAATCTTGAATCAATAGAGTTGGTGATATTCAGTTGTATAAATCAAATATGATAAGATACTACAAGTTGACTTTCGTTGAATTAGGAATCAATATATTCGACTATTCCAACTACGAAAAGCATTTTAAATTCAATGAAATTTCAGAAGATTTATCTATCTTTGTCAGCGACGATGAGATGGATAGGCAGATAGCATTTGCCTCCACTTCTGAAATGCAGATTACTGAATAGGAAACATTGTGTGAGGATGATTTCAGTACAAACTTCAGGAGAATCAGATTGCCTATGTGGCCCAAAACATTCACAGTACTGCACATTGAATTCTGGTTCAAATTTAATAGCATTGCATCAAGTAAAAATACACTGAATTATAACATAAATTTAATCAGGGGCCTATGAATTTTATTTTCTATCAGATACTTAGGATCCTGACAATTTCCATATCAAGACTGTGCCAAGTATTGAAAACTAAGTATGCTATTAGATGCAAGGTTTCTCTTATTGTCAGAGTTATCAAAATAAAGTGAGTAACTTGAATTGGCAAAGCTACATATTAATTTATGACAATAAAACGCCACTTTGGAGATCAGCTCTTGATAATGAATTTAATGATGCAACACCTCCTTTTAACACTGGTAAAATTACTCCTGGTTTTAAAGCCTGCAAATTTAGCTTTTAATTTTGCTGGAGATATGCTAAGTTTCGGTTACATGAATTCACCTTCCCCTGCTGGCACATTTATGTTTTATATGAAGGAAATCAGGTTTTGGTCTATTCTTCGTCAATACGAGTTAATGAAATCATAAATAAGATTGTAACCCAAACTAATTGATTATTTTATAGAAAAATACCTTCATACCCTGGGGCAGGTCTAATCGGATACTGGCCTCTTTAGCGAGACTCATATGGGAACGATTACCTTTCAGATGAGTCTATTAATCCTCAAACAATTCACCTAGATGCTCCTGTTAAGTTCTGCTAAGATCCTAATAGTCTGGTGCTTTGTGAGTTTGGATATGTATATGTTGAAATCTAAAACTACTGTGTTTAAGCTATTGCAACTAGTGTCGAATATCATTTGAAAGTGTTAACTCTGCCTACTTAGTATGGAAGTAACTAAGTATTATGTAATAAACTTGTATAGTGAGAATGGTGTCAAATGGATTACATAAGTTAACTCTAGAATTCTGGTTTTTATGCAATAGCTTGAGTACTACAATTGTATCTAGAGAAGATTTGATTATGAATGTTAAAGCAGATACAGATGCAACCACTGGGGTAGCTTAAATGTTAATAGAAAAATTTGATTCATTAAATCCAGGAAC